TGCCCCCTCCCCCCAGACCACGTTCTGTCATTCACTTCCTTAAGCCTGCCAGGTATGTCATGTGTTGCTTTCCCTTGTCGCTTTCTCTCTATTCGACCTGTGAGTATCAGATTCTCCAGGCCTTCCTTTCTCATACGTGTCCCAGAAATTTCAGCTGCTTCTTCCTGATGTGAAGTATAAGCCTTCTTGTTTGCATTCTCTCCAAGATCCTATCCTTGCTCACCAGAAATAACAATTTCAATAATTCTTTTTCATATCGCTCTTCTTTTTCTTTTTGTGTGCCGTGTCCCTTCAGGACATAGGCGATCATGGCTCTCCTCTTCCTCCTATTCCTTGTAGCTCTCTATGTTTCGTCCTTCTACCAACTCCCCAAATTATGTTGTCATCCACTAGCCCGCTAGTATGTCATGCCTTACTTTTCCTTGTCTCTCTTTCCCTCTATTCGACCTGTGAGTATCAGATTCTCTAAGCCTTACTTTATGTGTCCCAGAAATTTCATCTGCCTCTTCCTGATGTTAATTTCGGTACCTCCATGAGATCGCTAAAAAAAGAGCATAGCATGATGAAAAAGACGCCAAACTTGACGCAAACAAAATTTTATCGTCTAAATGTTTATGTTATTATTAAGAGGAAAGATCAAAGTTTATTTTAATTATTTTTTAAAATTTTTCCCTCTTTTTAGAACATTCTAAATTTTGATTAAAAAAACCTTGTTTCTCTTTGTATCACCGGAACTAGTAAATTAAGATACAATTTTTAGCACGTTTTTTTTTTTGTATGACACACATTAATTCGGAAAATCTTGTAAAAATAAAAATAATTGTCAGATGTTAATGAAACTTTCAGAAACTATTCACAAATGATCGAAATTATTATATATATGTTTTTTTATTAAAGTCATGGCAGAAATATTTTTTTATATTTATTCCCCGCCTCCTAACTAATTTTATGAAAACGCTAGAAATTCGATCACATCAGGCTTTTTTGTACTTAGCTTTGACCTTTACGTTTACGATGCTTTATGGAAAATATATTATAAAGAAATTAAAATAAGTCTGTTAAGAGTGAGATTAAATTTCATATTTCATAAGAAAGGTATCTCTCCAAAACCCTCATCGTTGCTCACATGTTCGGTCCATTGTATCCTTAGCATCCTTCTGTAGAACCATACCTCCGTTGCCTCAAGTCTCTTCTTCATCTTTGGGGAGACTGTCCAGCATTCGCTGCCGTAAAAGTGAATAGATGACACGTAGCAGCTCAATACTTTTTCCTTCCATTCTTTAAAATATTTATCAGAGAGCTTATAGAATTAATACCTGCTCGAAAAGAACTGTTTTGTGGGAAAATGGGGGCACGATACCCTATTAGGCAGTTGGTCACTGTGTTTTCACAGTGACATTAGTACTTTCTCCTTCTGGGAAGAATTCCTTTTAAATTTCTGCATCTATAAATAAATGAATATCAAAGATATAAACACTGCGAAATAATCCAAAGTAAATTCTTATAAAATCTCAATAGACGCACCTGCGAGTTTGCCTTCGTAAATTAACGAGCCTGCTTGAATACAGGGAGAATTCAAACTTTCAATATTGTCTGTTTTAACTTGAATAGGCGCATAATGGTTATTAGAAAGCATGATCGGCGAGCCGTGTTCAAATTCGGTTGGGCTCATTTTGGCACTTCTACTTTTATTTCTAGCGTTTTCATAAAATTAGTTATCGGGGGGTAATAAATATAAAAAAAATATTTCTGCCATGACTTTAATAAAAAAACAAAACAAAAAAAAACATTTATAATAATTTCGATCATCTGTGGGTGCAGTGTATCTGGGCTCCCTAGCTTTCGTTGTTAAATAATCTAGGAAAAACAATTCTAAATTCAAAACCTGTTGTAAATCAACTTCGTAATGTAACCACGACAGTGCCACCTAGTGAGGTTCGGCAGAGACCCTGTACCTCAGGGGAGGGGGAGGGTTTATAAGTTCGAAAAGAACTTTACATATCATTATTCCACAACGTGACATTATACACAGATTCAAAAATACATCTGGTCGCCGTAGTGTGGGGTAATGGTTAACGAGCTACTCTATTTGACCATCACTACAGAATTCCAAATTCGATCCTTACTGGGTGCTCCATAATTTTATCCTTATGCCAAACTATTCTGAACTATAATTTTCGGGAGATTTTGGAAATTAACGAGGAAATTGATCTCAAGGTTGCACCTTTCCCATTATTGTATTTAAAGGAAGAGAGTCGAGGTCAGTGGCAATGGGATTCCGGAAGGAAGGTACCGAGAGAACAGGACAATTTCTGGCATCATTTGCATAAACCACTGGGATCTTGTGTCAAACATGGAATTGTGCAGGGTGGGGAATAGTTAAACATCATCTCAGTAATTTAAATAAAATTTTACTTTCTATTCACCTTTTTTTATTTTTTGTTGCTATATTTGGGCGGGAGCTGCCTAGAATTCACTCTCCAGCCTTGATAGAGTCCAAAGCGTCTCCGAGTCCTCGTGGGTGATGAATTATTCCCCACCCTCCAACCTCTCTCCTACAGGCAGGGGTGTAGCAAGCCTCACGCTGCTCTATCACTACTTCAACGGAAAGTGCTTGGAAGAACTACCTCCTCTGGTCCCGCCACTTCAAACCTTCACGGCAAGGACACACCCTGCTACTTACATAGTAGCAAATCACCGACATTCCCCCCGTATTCCGTCGATGAGAAGAGTGGCTCACGGGCCTTGTAAAGGTTGAACCTTTAAAAAGCACTGAAAAGTTGTCTGTTCTACTAAATACGACGACTCGAGTCTGTTAAATTAAAAAAAACAAAAAAACCCAAAAAACAAACAAACAAACAAACCAAAAAAAAAAGCGATACAATCAACGTCTCAGACCAAAGTCACGTGAGTATAAAATATCTGAAATTCTTTTGCACCTCTTATCTCTGTCTCAACCTCCATTTTTGCCACTTCGTCTTTTTGCTTCAACTGTTGGGAGGAAATATGAGAAAAAGCTCTTTTTATATAAAAAAAAAAGCAACAAAAATAAGATGATAGATAAACTAGTACAAATAAAAAATGGGTCATTTAAAACGTTTAGACAATTTAAAAATATAAATTCACATGTTTGCAAATTGCGTTGATGAAGTTTGCAACTGTCATATTTAATTTGAGGAGTGTGCTTATGTATGTGGGTGGGCCAGGTTTCAAACATAAATACGCGTGCGCACAGGAGAGAGAGAGAGAGAGAGAGAGAGAGAGAGAGAAACTGAGCGAGAATGTGATTGAGAGAGATAGAGTAAGAGAGAGAAAAAGAGAATGAGAGAGAGAGAGAGAGAGAAGAATAGTGATTTGATCATTGCCATAATAGAGTCAGTTTTAATATGAAGCCCTCTTTCTCGTTTTCTGTCTCTTCTCTCCTTGCTATGATTACATCATTTTCAGTACGTTCTGTCTCTCTCCATCCCTCCCTCTCTGTCTCTACACCTCTCACCCTTTCTCTCTCTCTCTCTATGCTATGATCCAATTACTCCGTACACCCGCTCTGCTTTTCATTTTCACGCAATCTCCGTTATTTTTTTTTCAATTTTTTCCCTTTTCTTTTAATATAACCATATCTATTTCAGCAGGCTTCATATACATATATATATATATATATATATATATATATATTTTTCTCTGTCACCCCCTCTCTTCTGTTTTCATTACGCTAACTCTCTCTCTCTCCTTCTTTAGAAACAGAGCGACAATTGAGTTGGTTCCACGCTCCTCAAAAGCTCCAATCTTCCGATCAGAAGCCTTCCTGCCAGATGTAATTTATCGTTATACCCTGGACACTGTGTGCTTGTGTGTGCGTGTTTATTTGGGTACCAACCTTTCTTTAAAACTTTCTTCTTTGAATAGGAGAGACAAGAAAAATTGATTATGGTTTAATTGAGTTCTTCTAGTAATCTTTAATTTTTCCGAATTTTAGGAGTTAAGGAGTGTACAAATTGTCCCTAGTTTTTATTGTCCCAAGTGCTTTCGGCCACTCCTTTAGCCATTTTCAAAAAGTTTGTTGATAATAAGATGTAATCACACACGCACGCACACACACATATCAGAATTAAGTAATTCATCGAGTCTAGAAGAATCGTTAACAGAATGCAGAAAGCACTGGACTGTCGTTTCGTCCTATTTTGGGACTCATCAGCAGTAGGCATCCACTACCGAGAAACGAAACTGGACCGTTACGATACGACGCGTAGATTCTCAGTAGTTGATATATATATATATATATATATATATATATATATATATATATATATATATATATATATATATATATATATGTGTGTGTGTGTGTGTGTATATATATATATATACATACATATATATATTATATATATATACATATACATATATATATATATATATACATATATATATATATACATATATATATATATATATATATATATATATATATATATATATATATATATATATATAACATTTCTCTATCTTACTTTCTATTTCTCTGTGTTTACTCCTTACAAAATCTGTTTCATTACTCTTTCAATATGTTTTTTTTCTATCTATCTATCTTTCATCTATCTATCTATCTATCTATCTATCTATCTATCTTTTTAGTTGTGTTGGTGTGAGTTTGTGACCTCTGGGTTTCACGCCCTTTACGATCGTCAGACAAAACCCAAGGTCAAAACCAAAGGTCACAAACTCACATCAATGCAACTAAATATGCTAGCTCTGTCGCTGATATTGAGTGTTTTCCAATAAGTACCGCTCATATATAATATATAAATCATATATATATAAATTGCATATCTATATCTATAATATATATATATATATATATATATATATATATATATATTTTTATATATATATATATATATATATATATATATATATATATATATAAAAAAAATGATTTAATCATGTTAAGGAGAGAAAAGACAGAAGGGAAGAGAACAGAGGTGAAAGATTGGAGCATGTCAAAAATAGAAGAGAGATAGAGAAATAAACTTGATCATAGCAAGGAGAGAGATATAGAAAGAGGAGAGAAAGAAAGGGGAGAGAAATAGAAAGAGTGAGAGAAAGAAAGGGGAGAGAAATAGAAAGAGTGAGAGAAAGAAAGGGGGAGAGAAATAGAAAGGAGGAGGGAGAAAGGGGAGAGAAATAGAAAGAGGAGAGAAAGAAAGGGGAGAGAATAGAAAAGAGGAGAGAAAGAAAGGGGAGAAAAATAGAAAGAGGAAAGAAAGGGGAGAGAAATAGAAAGAGAGAGAGAAAGAAAGGGGAGAGAAATAGAAAAGGGAGAGAAAGAAAGGGGGAGAGAAATAGAAAGAGGAGAGAAAGAAAGGGGAGAGAAATAGAAAGAGGAGAGAGAGAAAGAAAGGGGAGAGAAATAGAAAGGGGGGAAGAGAGGGAGAAAGGGGAGAGAAATAGAAAGAGGAGAGAAAGAAAGGGGAGAGAAATAGAAAGGGGAGAGAAAGAAAAAGGGGGGAAAAAGAAAAGAGGAGAGAAAGAAAGGGGGAGAGAAATAGAAAGAGTGAGAGAAAGAAAGGGGGAGAGAAATAGAAAGAGTGAGAGAAAGAAAGGGGGAGAGAAATAGAAAGAGTGAGAGAAAGAAAGGGGGAGAGAAATAGAAAGAGTGAGAGAAAGAAAGGGGGAGAGAAATAGAAAGGAGAGAAAGAGAAAGGGGAGAGAAATAGAAAGAGGAGAGAAAGAAAGGGGAGAAAATAGAAAGAGGAGAGAAAGAAAGGGGAGAGAAATAGAAAGAATAGAAAGAAAGGGGGAGAGAAATAGAAAGAGTGAGAGAAAGAAAGGGGGAGAGAAATAGAAAGAGTGAGAGAAAGAAAGGGGGAGAGAAATAGAAAGCGAGAGAGGGAGAAAGGGAAAAAGAATGAGAAATATATATATATATATATATATATATATATATATAGATAGATAGATAGATAGATAGATAGATAGATAGATAAATACGTAGAAAGAATGAGATAAAAAGTGGTAGAAAAAGAAAGAGAGAGAGAGACAAAGACAGAGATAGAGGAAAAGAAAAACAGAGAAAGAGAAAGATCACGAGGAAGATATATATATATGTAATTGTATATATATATATATATATATAAATATATATATATATAAATATATATATATATGTAATTGTATATAGATAGATAGATAGATAGATAGATAGAAACAGTGAAATAAAGAAAGAGAGATAGAAAGAGAAAGAGAGAGATATAGGAAAGAGAAAGAGAGAGAAAGAGAGTGTAAAAGACAGAAAGAGAGAAAGATAGAGATATATAGATATATAGAAAGAATGAAATAAAGAAAGAGAGGGAAATAAAAATTGGAAAAGAAAGAGAAAGAGAAAGAGACAGAGAGAAAGAGAGCGAGAAAGAGAGATGTATAGATATATAGAAAGAGTGGGATAAAGAAAGACAGAGAGGAAGCGAAAGATAGAGAAAGCTGAAAGATAGAAAAAGAGAGAGAAAGCGAGAGAGAAAGAGAAAGCCCGGGAGAAAGGGAAAGCGAACGAAAGTTAGAGAGAGAAAGAGAGAGAGAGAGAGAGAGAGAGAGAGAGAGAGAGAGAGAGAAATGAAAAGAGGAAACGAGAGAGAGAAAATGAGAGAGAAAAAGAGACAGAGAGAGAAAATAGTGCGCTCGACAGAAAACTCAAGTGAAGTGGATGAACAAAATATTTTCTCCTTGTCTCAATTACTATCTGGCATTTTTATGCATTTTGCATTAGTTTTTCTTTCATTTTATAGTTATTGCTTTTTTTTTTTTTATAGCAACGTTCAGGTCGTTTTGATATTCTACGACCGTCAAGTAAGCTGCATGAATCGAAAAGAAAAAATTAAGCTAAAGACGGGATTGGATCTTCTATTAATATCGAGTATGTCTCGCCGAAACAGCACTGTACCGATGAGGACACTCAGACTGATCCCCAGTCGAAAATGAAATTTTATTATAAAATTCTTTTTATTTTATTTTACTTACGATGGATAGAAATAATAATTTAGAATATTTTGCCTTCAATAAATGTTTGTGAATTTTGTGAGACATTCGCAAATTCCTCCTGTAATTCTAACACAATGAGAATTTTTTACGTGTCTATGTACATATAACTACTAATGAATGAATTAGTATAGCAAATGCTTGTTGCTTGTTTAAGAAGTGCGGATCTGTGGAGATATGAAGATTCCACAATATTAACATAGAGTTAGTGCCAGAGTTACGCTGTAAGACAACCCACTCATAAGGTCGTCATGAGATAATCAAGTACATGTGAACTTAGAGATTTATATTGGTGGGAAAGACTTTAGCCTAATACATGCATTTTTAGAGTTACTTATTCAGTCGTATGAAATTACAAAAAAAAAAAAAAATAAAATAAAAAAGTACAAAACAAAACATTTCTACACTACTTTTATACATATGTCTCCAGATTAATGAAATCATTTGGAATTTTATTCGAAATTTCAAGCATGATATTATTTGACCATATTTATTCGGTTATCTGAAAATATAAATATTGTATGGCATTTTTAAAGATGTATTTATTACGCCACTGCAGAAGGTATCCGAATTAAGTCGTCAATATCTATCTTACACATTTCTAAGTCGACCATAGATTAAATATTGCTGTCACATTTGGTCCGGTGCGTCTAGTAGGCATTTAGAGATTCTTGATAAAATCAAATGAAGAATGTGCCATATTATCGGTCCTAACCAGGCATCTCGGCTTCAGTCACTTTCCCACCGCCATAACGTAGCTTCCCTGTGTTTTTTCTATAAATATTTTCAGGGTAATTTTTCGGATGAACTTTCCTCTTTTTATACTATTATAGTCCCGCATTGATTTCGGCCATTGAACGGATGTTTCTGCCACATTTAGTCATTTTGGTGGGGTTTATTACTAATCTTATTTTTCTTTAGTTTCTTGTAAATAGTTTTTTGTGTTCATATTGTAAATACTCATTGGGGCTAGTTTTTTAGAATTGTCGTTTTATTCCCCCCCCCCCACAGACAATGAATGGTAAATATGGGGACTAGTTAGTATTTTCAGAGAGACAAAGAAGTATTATGGTGGTTGTAGTAAGAAAGGTACGTATGAATGTGTTGTTTTGGTGCAAGGAATATTGTTCGTACGATTGGGCCAGTGTTTGCGGCTAGCTAAGTTATAGTTAAGACAGAAGAAGACCGTCCTTTCCCCAATCCTCTTTTCTGTAGAAAACAGAATAAATATCACTTTCCTCTTTTTAAAAGTTGTTATTTTTATTCCACCACCCACCAAACTAATTGTGCATATAGAGACTAATTAGAACTTCATAGAGACTCTGAGGTATTATGGTGGCTGTAGTAAGAATGCTAAGAACGTGTTTTTTTTTTTTTTTTTTTTTAGTGTAAGGAATACTGTGGTAAGTTTAGACCAGTAATTGTTGCTATTTTAAGATAAGACAGATTGAAGACCAGCCTTCCCCTCTCCCCACTTTTGGCATTGTGCCACCTTTTTGTATTATCAAATTAAATATTACTTTCCTTTTCAGTACCTAGGCTTATGAATTTAAGCGCAGTACTAGGTTGGAGGTTAGGTTTCATCATTTTACAGTTGAAATGTCTAGATATAACCGTAAGTTCTATGCTAACAGTTTCTTCTCTTTTCTCTCTTTTTCTCATATTCTTTTACGCTCAGTAAATCCTTGCGTATTAATGGCTTTATTACCTTGCTTGGCGTGAAATGATTAAAAAGGACTGACCTGAGACGGTGGGGTCTGAAAGGAACTGTGTCTTAAGTCGGGGACCAAATAAATCAAGAATAGTATCCACATTGAATGATGTTTCGAAAATAGCAATCACTTATCAAAGATAATTGCAACTAGGTGAACTGAATAAAAAATAAATTGTTTCGAATCTGGAAAAATGGATCGGTAGGTAATTTTTTAGCACCCTACCGTAATTTTTAAAAGATTGCTCGTAACTTTTTCACTCATCTAATACGTCTCATTATTTTCGTTTTGTTTCAATTAATTTACACAGGGGTGTACATACGTGCATGCAGGAATGTACACGTGCGCTTATACATAGGCTTATCAATACATAACATATGCAAATAAATTCAAACAATAATAAGTAAAAGTTTAATTATGAATCTAATCTCCTACAGTTAATAATTAGGATACCGCCAAACCAAGTAAGTAAACGAAATAATGTATATGTATATGTAAGTATTTATCGTTTAAGCATTAATATAATCAGTATCATATATATATATATATATATATATATATATATATATATATATATATATATATATATATATATATATATATATATATATATATATATATATATATATATATATATGATACTGATTATATTAATGCTTAAACGATAAATACTTATATATATATATATATATATATATATATATATATATATATATATATATAGTTTGATTGATGTGGAGTTTGTGACCCTGAGTTTTACGCCCTTGCAATCGTTAGACAAACGATTGCAATGGCGTGAAACCCAGTGTCACAAATTTACATCAACGCAACTAAATATGTTAGCTCTATCGCTGATATCTAACGCTTACCAATAAGTACCACGCATATATAATATATAAATAATACATATAAAATTACATATATATGATCACGACACCCTAAATATACGCACATCCGCGGAGACGGGCGTACGCGCTCAAAGCACATACGTAGATACGGATGCATGGCTGCACGCGCGCAAACACACACGAACACAAAACAATACGGAAAATACTTACACCAATGATGTGTAGAAAAAAGTAAAAAATCGGAAACTATAAGCAGTAAACTGCAGATAGCCTCTGAAGAGTGGACGGAATTGTCCATCTACGAAATTCTGGAGTCGTAATGCTAAAGGTAACATCAAACAACTAAGTGTCAAACTTTTGACAAACTATGGATGCATATTTTGGGAAATAGATAAAAACGGACATATTTTTCATTTATTTGCTTAAACGTTATTTTAAATAGAAAGTCATATTTGAGTAGATGCTCTTTTTTATTTATTTATTTATTTATTAAAGAGTATATTTATTTACATCTACCGGCCTGGATACTTCGAGTAATCTTGTTAGAAAAATATGCACCCTCTAGCAATGCCTTATGCCGCTCAGGCATGCAGGACCACCTGATCAAACGGGTCCTCTGTGGCCGAGCGGTTTAAAGCACGTCAGATCTAATGACAGCTTCCCCTACCATATTTTCCTAACAAGAATTCTCGAATATTCAGGCCGGTTGATGTAAATAAATAAATGTACTGCTTAATAAATAAATACAAACAGAACATCTCAAATATGAGTATCCATTTAAAATAACGTTTAAATAAATAAATTAAATAGATTATCTGTAAAAGGACAGTGTGAATAAAAACAAAAGGAAAACTTATCTTAATTGATGCAATTCGTCTTCCGGGAGACTTTATCAAACCAAATGCAAGGATTTTATTTTTAGTATTTATATGCAAGAGCAAGTATGTTATTTGTTTTTCAAAATTTTTAAAGAAGGCTAACCTAATGAATATTTATAAGCTTTCTAAAATTTCAAAATTTAGAAAGACCAATAACATTTTTGCTCTTATATATAAATATTTGTTATAAAATAAAACCCTTGTATTTGCCTTGATAATGTCCGTCAAGGAACGAAACGTCGGCTAAGATGTTTCCCTGTTAACTTTATTCAAACACACACACACTATATATATATATATATATATATATATATATATATATATATATATATATATATATATATATATATATATATATATCCTTCAAATACAAACATACACACTCACATGCATATATATAAAATCAACGATGAAATTATCGGCACATCCTTCAAATACACTGATACACACAGACACACATACAAACACACACACATACACAATAATTACATTATTCGGACTATTGTTTTCATCTTTGTCGCCATATTTATTACAAGGTTTCGGCCGTTGTACGCTCCGGCCTTCTTCAGGTAGTTCGAATGTTGAACTGAACCCTTTATTTCGCTCACTGGGGTAGACTGTTCTAGTTCCACGTGCCATGTTTTTAATGGATGCCAGTTGTCAGTTATCTCCCGTTAATTCCCCTCTCCAAGTTCTCCACTGCCTTAACCGGGTATTGAACTCACACTCTTTGGGTCCTGTCACTGGATCTAACTAAAGCCTTTATTCATTGTGCCATGTGTCCTTGAATTAACAAGACAATAGTCCGAATAATGTAAATAATACCTCATCTTAGAAATATAGACAGATACTGAAAGGCCAAAACTTTGTGATAAATATAGCAACAAAGATGAGGACAATAGTCCGAATAATGTAAATAATGTACATAATACCTCATCTCAGAAATATAGACAGATACACACACACACACATACACACACATACACACGCATCTCTCTATATTTTCTTTCATTTACTTTTAATTTGGACGAAGTTATTTTTTCTTTTACAAATACTGGTTCGTTGTTTTAAGTAAGTTATTTTCTGCGGATATAAAAATCTAAAATTGTCAAAATAATGACACAAAATAATCGTGATCGCAGTTTTGTGGACAATGAAAGTAAAAAAGTTAGAAAGATTTCTTAGGACAAAGTTATTAAGAGTAGAATATTAAAAAAAATGTCTTTTCCCTCGAACTATAAGCTGATATCTACGTTGCAAACACCAGAAGGAAAATCTTACAATTTCACAGGCGCATTTGCATACACAGTCGCATTCCGATGCGGGCATTGCTTTTCTTTGCATTTGTGCTCGCAAAATGTTATTTCGTCTTCTTGAAAAGCATTTCAAATTTCGCCCTTTCTTCTTTTCGTTGTCTATTTTTCTGACTCTTGCATTACGCACCCATACTAGAAAGTCACTGTTTGGATCCGAAACACATTTCAATGGCGTCTAATCGCCAACCTTTTCACTAGTGCGCATTGTTTTCAGATTAAATGTTCCAGATCTTGGAAAAAAAAGTTGGAAGTGAGTCATATTCTATCGTTAGTAGATGAAAAACGAACGGCTGTCTGGTGAAGGGAACTTGCCTCTCTTAGGCATACAAAAGATAAATCATTATTACCCTGCTGATTGTGAGACTTGCATGCTTAACAAATGTGTTATGGAGAAAAGATATTACTTAACTTAGTTTTGTCATGGCACAAGGCCTTAATTGTAGAGCACCAAATCCATATGAGAATAGATTATAATGGTTAGAATAGCTTGTGAGACCCTCTTGCTATCTATAGTACTACAGCTAGAAGCCGATGCTTAGATTAGTTTCGTAAGGCACAGGGTCATAAATATCGAACACTTATTGAGGAACGGGTTCCTTAAAGACTAATTTGTTGAAATAAGAAAAAGTGGGGTTAGCTCAGTGAGGACTGAATGTGACACGGTAGGTAATGTTCTAAAATACAAGTCTACCAATCCTCTTTATTGTGAGAAACGCTAACTTTACTCGTCCTGACGATAAACTACATCCGGCAGCAAGGCCTCCGATCGGGAGGTTTTAAGGAACGTGGAACCATCTCTTCATTGCTGTTGTTCAGGGCAGTAGCACCTGTTAGGGTCCCAGATATGGGCAAATAGTGAACACCCAAACTGGGGTCAAAATATGAAAATATAGAAATACACTAAAAAAGATTACCAGCAATACATTGGGGGGGGGGGTCAAAGTTCACAAGAAAATTAAATTTCGGCTTTAAATGATCCATAAAAGTGTTGATGTGCCGTTAAAGAAACCGATCCAACCAACTTTAGCCTGGCATAAGGTATGTCGGGTTTTTGGTGAAGATCGACTTTAATAAACGAGCTGCTGGTTAGCGAAACTAATTGCATTGCTTAGGCGGTCTTACGATTTTGGGTATTGGATTTTGGGTATTGGATTTTGAGTATTGGTCTTCAGATATTGGATTTTAGGTATTGGATTTTGGGTATTGGATTTTGAGTATTGGTCTTCAGATATTGGATTTTAGGTATTGGATTTTGGTTATTGGATTTTGAGTATTGGTCTTCAGATATTGGATTTTAGGTATAGGATTTTGGGTATTGGATTTTGAGTATTGGTCTTCAGATATTGGATTTTAGGTATTGGATTTTGGGTATTGGATTTTGAGTAATGGTCTTCAGATATTGGATTTTGGGTATTGGATTTTGAGTATTGGTCTTCAAATATTGGATTTTAGGTATTGGATTTTGGGTATTGGCTTTGAGATATTGGATTTTAGATATTGGATTTTGGGTATTGGATTTTGGGTATTGGACTTTTGTTATTGGATTTTGGGTATTGGATTTTAGATATTGGATTTTGGGTATTGGACTTTAGTTACTGGATTTGGGGTATTGGATTTTGGGCATTGGATTTTGGGTATTAGATTTTAGGTATTGGATTTTGGGTATTAGATTTTAGGATTTTAGGTATTGAATTTGGGGCATTTGATTTGGGGTATTAGATTTTAGGTATTGGATATTGCTGAACAATGCGAGAGTTAATCAATATCAGGTGTTTTTTTTTTTCTCAAAAGATCAGTCGAGATTGTAAGATTCCTTCAAAATTCTTCACCGTCTGTTATTTCGTAGCCTGGACCTGAGAACTGTACTGGCAGCTGAAATTCCTCCACCTCTTACCATTTCTGTTGCTATCATCTTCATCACCATACCCATTTCTTTCCCTTCGTCGATTATCTGCTAAAATAATTACAACGAAACCAGGAAAACTGATTTTAATATATAAAAACAAACAAAAACGTGTTGAGAAAAATATGTTCATTCGTTTAACGTTACTTAATTTCCATTGGTTTTACTCTACACTATTAAGACAAAACATTATTGCAACCAGCCGAATAAAGATGCTGGCATCGTTTATTTGCCCGCAAAATAACTCTTCTCTAATCAGATATGGATTCTACAAAAGTTTTCTTCTAGGATCTTGTGCCAGGATATTAACAGTGTGGTCTTAAATGGTTAAAGTTAAGCACAGGAAGTACTGCAGAATAGATTTGTTTGCACAACACAAATGCTCAATGGGATTTAGATCCGATGAGTTTGGTGCCCTTGGCAACAAAATGAAGACTTCTTGTTCCTGAATCTATTCCCATAATGCCGTGACAGGGAAAATTGTGAAGTGTCATATTAGTACTCCGTATGTTCATTCCACGAAGTCGTTGCTTGGAAATTGAAGACCGATTCTCGATTGGATTTCAATCAGGAGAGTTTCAGAGCCAGTCTGTAGTGCTTTGATTTGCTCACTGGTAAAGCTTGCCAGTGTGTTCGTACAGCGTTACAATTTTCGCACGCTTCCTTGGAGTAATGTCCATCGCAGTCAATGGGTGTAGGACAACTAATCGACAGTCGAGATAATAGTGTATGGGAGTGATAAAAAATCTGATGGAATCACAGATGACGCAATATTTTTAAAGAGCAAACAAATTTCATCATACACTCGGAAAATAGATCCATACTACTGTACACCACTGCAAATGACCTAACCTGAAGAAAAATAGAAATAGATTACACCTTGTCTCTCCAGTGGGTCTAAAACTGGCCGTATGGCGAAAGAAAGACAGTTGTTTCAATTAATTTTCATCTCTTTTAATGAAATAAATTTTCTATTGGATTTTTATAGAGACTGAAGGTCATTTTATTAATTTGGTGTCTTCTAAAACCTTTGCAAAAGTGAACAATAGTTAGTATTGCAGAGTATAAAAACCCATTAATCTTGCATAAATACAAACTTTTTAAAAATTACGGCTTCTTTGTTGTGTTTTTGATCACTCGAAATGTTTTTGTGCAATACAAAGATTATCTGTATTTATTAAGATATAAACAAATTGAATGGTTCTATTGCTTTAGCACCAACAATACCATCTCAAAACATAAATTTACCTTCCTGTCTTTGAATACGTTTGGCTGACTACTTCCATGGATGAATCAAAGACCAGCCATGGCAAGTATTATTACCAGTTCATCTCTCATCAGAAACTCCATCGATCTTTTAATGCTTATTGATTAACATTTTATCTACTAATATTTGTCTTATGTTGATATCTATATTTTGGTCCATCATGATGTGCTGGTCGATGTGTGTACGGATTGCACTGAGTTTAAACAGGTGACAGGTGAATCTATCAAATAATATTAGATAACACCAAAATCCTCTGCGGCACCCAATGCAAGGAAAGACTCAAAACTTTAGAAGCTATTATATAAATAAGCAACCCTACGTTAAATAAAATATCATTTACCACAGGAAAAGGTATCTTGAAGTGCATATGATAGAATTAATGTGCGCACATATGTTGTAACTAATTAAAAAGTAATCAAATCAAATCATGGTATGTACTAATAAAATATCACCATAAAATACCTAAATTTGCGGTTTGCCTAAAATCCGCAAAACAGATATCTCAATGTGTCATCTCAGGAATAGACAGCGTCCCCCGCAAACTGGCGAAAGTCATAAAATGTTAACCCCTTTCCTTGGGACACTCATCCCATCTCATATATATATATATATATATATATATATATATATATATATATATATATATATATATATATATAACTCAGGCAGCCGAGTTGAAAAACTAAGAGAAATGAATTTGATTCATGGCCAATCCAGAGATAAAATCACTTTAAACTAACATTCCTGTTGAAAAAAAATGTTTAAATCTCTTAAATAAAGCATCTAACAAAATCAAAGTTAAACCTCTCCCTACCAACAGCTAAAATAATAAAAATCAGCCGTCTCATCACAATCAATGCTATTTCATATTTAATAATTTTAGAAACAAAAATTGGATGACCAATGGGATCACCACTTAGTGGTGTGGCGGCAAGTATTTTCTTAGAATTTCTCGAATCTATTCCCTTTCAAAATATTTTACCCAATCATTCAACATACTTCCGGTATATTGATAATGCTCTACTTATATATCATTGTGATACTGATTTATCTGACCTTGTAGATAAACTAAACAAAGTCGAACATACAATAGAATTTACATCCGAAATGAAAGAAAACAATATTTGACCTCTGCTTGATATCATATACACCGCGTGAACAGTAGCTTAAACTTGATAAAAATGATCTCATAAATTTCTATTCCCATCATAACAACAAAATAAAATCCGGAATAATGATCGGATTCTACTTAAGAGCAGTCGGAAGTTGCAGCCCTCAGTATTTACATGAAGAGGAGAAGTACAATGAAAACCCTTTCAAGTTTCTTCAATAACCTATTTTATATTCAATGCAAAACAAAAGGTTCATAAAATATTCCAAAATAAAAAAAAAACGGCCCATCCTAAGAAACCGAAAAAAAAATCATCTTACCAACTAGATCTATCACAGCTACAATTGAAAAGAATTTATCTAAACTTAACATAAAATTCTATTTTGATATAAAAAAAAAAGCTAGTCTGATCAAAGGAGAAAGCAATTCACTATGACGAAAATGTTTAGAGAGCGACTTGATCGTAAGATCATCTACATCTTGCGCCCGGGATTTTACACCATTCCAGGCAGATTTTCTATTATCACAGTGTTGGATATCTAATAACAAATGTGATAGAAACTAAAAGAAAAAGAATCTAAATGAAATCAGCTAAGATTATAGACCACAACCACATAAAAAATGAAAATTAATTTAAAATTTAGAATTCCCAGCATCTCTCGTTCATGTGTAGTTGCACCAACGTAAACAAATTTAGTGCGATGAAGTCCTAAAGGGCAAAATGCATCACACGAAAAAATTTTCCAC